GAGGTAACATAAAAATAACTTGATAGTTTTGAAATGGAACTTCATCCATTCAGAATAATACAATTACACAGATATTTTCCTTCCAGTAAGTTTGTGTATTCCTAAGGAAAGGGAAAAAAAAACCCAACAACAAAACGTGGGCCATGCTTTTAAGGCCTTAAATGATGGATTAAAATGTTAGTAGCATTATCTATGCCAAGATCAAGCTATGTTCTGTCAACTGTTTAAGGAGCACCACAAACTTCTCAGTGTGAGGTTTGCAGCAACAGAAGCACCTAAGGTTATTGGTACTTGTGCTTCTGTTTTCCATAAACCCTTTTTTTCTTGACATGGCAGTGTTGTTCAGTTTTTAAGGAGGTCCAGAGTTTCTGCAGCTTGATTGTAATAAATGACTTAAATAGGTATCATTCTTATCATTAAAATGCTTCTTAATGCAGTACATCAATAAGCAAGGTGACTGAATTTTGATAAATTTTTTACATAATTTGAATGCAAACCATATGGAAGCTTCCATTACTGGGATTTTAGGTAGATTAATACTATGCTATCCCACTCTGTGCCTTAAAAATACTGTTAGCAAGTCATATTTCTGGATATGGTCTACCTGACATAAGAAAATGCATAGGTACTGAAGATAGGACAATGATATTTTTTAGTGGATTGCAATGAAGACAGTCCTGTGCTTCAAGAATGGCAAGTCATTCTAGTAAACAGTATTAAATAGGCAATTTTTTTAATATTACACTGTTTCTGTGAGAGTGGATTAAAGAGTTAAATGGGATATATTATTTTGGTTTTCATTCCTAACTTTTACTAAGAGAATGTATATGCTTATCATTAATTTACAGTATTTTGTGTTTGTTTGAAAAAAACCTGAATTCTAAACATTTAAGTGGATGTGACTTTTTAAAAATTCTAAATTATAAATTCTTTATTTTGTGGGTATGAATTCATTCCTTTCAGGTCAATGGCATGTTCACAGTTCTTCCATCTATAACCACAGTCTTTGTGAGCCAGTAGTCTTCTAGTATTTAACATCAAGAGTGGTTGATATGTCACCATATTATTGCAAAATATGACTATGAAAATAAGTGGTGGGATTTGACAGATTCCTAAATGTTCCAAAATCATTTATTAGCCCAGTGTGAGAAGAAAATCAATAAACCAGAAAGTTTGTAAAGATAACAGATGATAGATGTTTATTTTATCAATTTTATGCTTGTAATGATGGGTTAAGAGGATTATTTTTTGTTTGGCTGGGGGTTTTTTGTTTGTTTCAGTTTTTTTTTGTTTGTTCTTTGTTTTTGTTTTGGTAAGAACTAAAAATGCTCATTTTGATGGACTTGATTTATATACCATTTAGGATTCAGTAATTATGGAAAAAATATGATAAATTTAATTTAAATGAGGTTAGATGAGAATACAATCATGTTCAACTGTATACTAACTCTAGGTGTGTTGCCCTTTAAAACTGTTTTCTTTAACTTCTCTTTTTTAAAACTTTTATTTTCAGGATTATTAAATTTTTATATTAATTTAGATCATATCTTATTACAGAAATTTTAATTATCAAAATGTATGCATCCATTTGTGATCATGTGTAGAAGTCCTCATTAATTTCTTATTCAGAAAATAACTGTTCATGAGTTCCATTTTGCCTATTTTTTGTCCTATGTGTTGTCTTTATATGTGTATACAAATGGCACAACATAAAGAGAGTGAATATTTTATTTACTGATTAATTTTCTTTTGTTTATTTAAGAATATGAAATTAGCTTTCCTTATGTAACACATACATTCTAAGGAAATATATTCAATACACTTTCTATAGTTCCCCATATCCTATTTTTGATTTCTGTCACAAACTGGAAATGAAGTTACATGTATATAAGGAGTTTAAAAATAGGTTAGAAGTATCTTGTGAAATGTAACAGGAAATCTACGGAGATATATTTTTATCTGGTATTTTCTGTAGTGAGCAAAAATGAGCATGTTGTGCCTTTCAGTTCCGTTCAAGAATGCTGCAGAAACTTGTAATCTGTCACATTTTTAGTCATGTGAACATGTCAATCAGATGAATATATAATATATATTGCAATCATAACATATTTACAGACAGAGATGTAGTTCTGAGAATAAAGTGAAATGAGTGGCAAAACCACCCCACAATAAAACTGTACTTGCAGAAGTTAATGATTCTGAGTTTACAGAAATATATTATGGCTGGGATCACTATATTCTGTTAAAGTGTGACTTCTCACTTATTTAAAGAAAAGTAATTACAATTAATAGCAAATATATATCACTACAACTAAAAGGTCATTTCCCGATGAATATGTAAGTTAAGGAAAAAGGAGAAACAGAAATAAATATCCATAAATAAATTTGGGGTGGTTTCTGCAATAATTTTTATGTACTGCAACATTGAAATTCTGGAAGCAATTTCCCATTGAAATACTCAGGAAAAATAATTCTAACCTATCAAGAAATTATGTGAAATTATCCCTATGATAAGCAAGTGTACTCAGTCTGTAATGAGAAACTTCTAGGCCTATATTTTAGCATTATGGACTGGATTAGTGGAGAGCTGCAAGCATCTTGCTCATGACAACTGAAATAGTGACTATCGATTCTTCATTTAACTCCGGTGTATGTGCATTTTTGCAAAAGGAAATGGAAGAAGAAACAAGACAGTAGTATCACTTTCATGGAAATTAGCAAGGTTCTTCAACTGTTGTAGAAAAATGGGGAAAACAGCACCTAATTTAACAGAAATTTGGGGAGAAAAGATAATTTTCTAATTCTTTTCTGGCAATCATTATGTATGGATGTATCCACTAACAACACAGAGCATGGGAATGTGATTTGGGTGTGAATTTGTCTTCAGTCTAGTTTGGAGTCCTTCTGCACGTATTTCTGAGCACCACTGAGCATTTTGAAGCATTGATTTGTCCCGGCGTTGTCTTTAGATTGTCATGTTGCGTGAAGCACCTGAAGTGCAGGTGCAAGGCTTCCATCAGTTTGCTCTCTGTGCCTGCAATGTGTGCCAAAAATTGGCAGGTGATGCAGACTTTGTTGCTCGTTAGGATGTAAAGAGGCGCAACAAATTGCACTGTCATCCTTGCCTTTGTATGCTGCATCAGGTGTACTGCAGGTAATATAGACACACAGACTGAGACTTCCATGATTGCCTGAGATCTAGTGATATAATGTATTGCATTTTTGATAATAAAGATTCAGCATTTTGTCTAGTATGTGCCAGGTAATTTGTGTTACTTGTTTAATCTTTTCTCTCACGATTTATGATTTGATTTGTTAACTGAAAAAAACTAGTATCGGTATCTGTCATACAAGAAAGCTCTAACTATATAAGGTATATGTTACATCTATGAACATTTTGTGCCTCAGAAATATCTTATGAATGCACCAGATGCTCACAATTGTGTTTATATTTTGGAGAAAGGTATTTAAAATACATGTTAACATATCCCTGTTGATTGCATACTGGACAAGTCTATTTTTCCAATGAATGTACTCTCCTTGAAGTTAGAAAAACTTAATTTTTACATGAATTTGAATAACTGTTAAGTTAGGAATTTTGAGGTATTCAATGAACTGAAATGAAAGGTACAGATAGATCAATAAAAATAAGTAGGTAGGTAGGTAGATACATTTTTATTGAATGTTTTGGCCTATTCAGTGTTTTTGCTGTTTTGTCAAGTTAAATCAGTGTAAATTGAACAAAGAGATTTGTATGTAATTTGTATATAATTTGGTTGGTCATGATGAAGAATTTCACTGAGGTGTAAATATATTTATTCTCCAACCAAAAAAGAATGTTTTTCTTGTTTGTCCCAGATGGCTTCCTGTAAGAAGATCATATTTAGATTGAGGAGCAGACGTTATTATTTAAGGACATTTAGGAGTCTTTTATGTATAATATTCATAGAGGAAAAGATTGTTTATAGAGATGCTTGACATTGCTATCCTACTTTTGTATAATTTGGTTTTAAATTTACATATGTGTAACAGATTACAAGAAATGATTCATTAAAATAAGGATGCAGTAGTCAGTGATATAAAATAAATATAAATTATTAATAATTCAACAGTACTGGAAAAACTGAAAAGACTGATGAATGTCAACAAAACATGTTATGTAACTACCAATAGTGGGTTAATTTTTTTTTTTGTGTGGATGACCCAATTCCAGGTGATATTTTAAGTCCTGTTTCTGAAGAATATATTGGACAGAAACCTTCACTTTTATCACTAGATGTGCATGTCTATTTAGTGTCTCATTTCCTTCACAAGCATATTGATCAAAATGAGTCAAAGGAAGAAGGTTCTTCCACCGTTCTCCATTTTCTTTATGTCCAACTATGTAACATAGTTGATACCTGGCATTTAGAAGAATGTAGATGTTCATAGAACTGTCATTGTATACTGTATGTTGCCCTACAAATCTGGCTTGCTCACTCCATTTTATCTTGTGGTTGGGTGAGAGAGATGAAGGGAAAGAGGAGTTTGCCTGTTTGCTTTCTTGTAAAATTCCCATTTTTTCCTTCTTTCAGTTCTCTGTACTGCACTATTTAGCCCATCATTTAATGGAGAAGAGTTATGCTTACCATTGATACCTGAGACACCTATATTATTTTATACTCTGTCTGCAGTAACTCTGAGTAAGAAAGGGAAGAATTTATAAATCACTCCAACTTATCTATAATTAAATAGACAAATAAATAGCCTGTTTCTGAGCATAGTTCACTTAATTCCATCTTCTTCTTAAAAAATATGAAAAAGTATATTTCTGTTCCTGTCTGTATGAAACAGACAGTTCTGTCTTTGCTGCCAAAATAGTTATTCTATGGAATATGTTTGGTTCCAAGGCAGAGAAGAGAAATTTTCTGCTCACTAGTAAGATCCATGGTAGAGGATTAAGTTAGCCAAACCCTACTCACATCCCAGTAAGCAGACATATATTTCTGTATTTTTTGTAGGTGGATACAGTGCAGACTACGCAGCACCCTGGCCACATTGAGGAATCATGTAAAATGAATGTATGTGCTCGTAAGTGAATTATTTATGAATTGACACTCCAACTCTAAGGGACTAAGAGCTGGATCACAAAATCCATGAACTCTCTTTACTCTTACGTTAAGACATTGATTCCCAGGGGGCAGGGTTACTGCAGAACTAAGTGGACTTTTAAGCAAAGCTATTAGAAAAAATGAAACAAAACATGACAAAGCATGATAAAAACTGCTTGAAGAGATTCAGATTGCATTTTGGATGCATTTGGAGAGACACTAAATGGAGAACGCAAAGAAGCAAGAATCCAAAACAGGAAAACAAATGGTACATAGAAAGGTTTGGTAAGCAGAACTGATTGTAAGTGGAGGAAGAAGATCAAATACCATCTAATTCAGGAGTATGAATAGGATGAAAGCCCTCACCATTTTCTTCTTTGTTCCATCTTTAAAAGGACTGAAATTTGATTAGATGATTTGTTGAATTAGTAACTGGGAGATGACTGTGAACAAGGTTGAATTTTCAGCGTTTGAATCAATGAAGTATTTGTGGTTTACTGAAAAAAAAACCCCAAAAACAATCCTGATGATATGCTAGATAAACAAAGAAAAAATATACCTCAGGACTGAAATTCTGGAAATCCAGAAACAGTCTTAGTATTTGAAAATCTTTCACCCGCTCAGGGACATGAGAGAGAGTGTGGAAGAGGATTCCAGTCAAGTGGCATAGGGTCCTTCAGATTTTTTGAGAGAAATGGCTCTCAAAGGAAGTTGAGGTAGATAAAAAGATGAAACCAAACATGCTAAATGACTATCAGCAAATAGGGAAATCAAAACTCACATGGTGCACATACAGTTTAGTTGCTAAAGTCAAGTGAATTCACTTGGCTAGAGAGCTCCCGACTAGAATAATTGTATCAAGGATTGTGCAACTACCAGTATCAAAATCATATATACAGAAAATCTCTAACTCTGCAGTCACTACTAAGCTATATACATCATATAAAAACAAAGACTATAGTGCCAACTCCAATTTTATATATATATATACACACACATATACACACACCAATTTTTATATTAATTTTATATATGTATTTGGATATTACTCTATATATCAGCTTATGATTTAGAGAAAGGCTGAATATTTCCTCCTAAATAATTTATTTAATCATGTCCTTCATCATAAGAAGCAACAAAAGAGGATATTTGAATAATAATTTTCCAACAAGGTCTTTTTCTTAGGAATAAAACATAACTTCAGCCCATTGAAGATTGTGATGTAAATCTGGTATAGCTGTGTGAGAAATCTACACAATATTGTTAACAATACTGTATGTTGTGACTTGCTTTCATAGTATTGCTTTTGAACTGTATGAACAAAAATGCTGGAAAATACTTTTTCTCTCTTGCTTGTTATGTGTTTATGTTTGAATTAGCTCATCCTTTGTATTTATCCCATCAAAACTGATAGTCAAAAATACTTTTTCTCTCTTGCTTGTTAAGTGTTATGTCTGAATTAGCTCATCCTTTGTATTTATCCCATCAAAACTGATAGTCTGCCACTGTTTCCTATTTGGAGTAATTAGTTCTGAGTGGAGGAATTTATGATACAGTAGGGGCTTTGACCTTTTTATTGTACTGAGATATATTATCAAACATCAAAGTCAGTAGGCTGCTACCACATTGATTTTGTTTTCTGTGAACAAAATCAATGAGCAAAATTAGAATAAAAAAATCAATTCTTTCATTTTCAAATTGATTCAGATTTTCTATGTGGACATTGTTTATTTAAACTTGACTGCTAGTCTGGAACTTTAGTAATTCTGCATAAAAGAAATTATTAATAAAACAGGCAGAGAAAATTACAATTAGGACATACAGGAATGAGAAGGAAAAAGATGCAAAAGAGATCAAGAAAATCACAGTTTTCTATTGGAATGGATTGCTTAGGAATATCAGGGAATTATAAAGATTGGTGCCAACACCTTTGACAAGAAAATCAGCACATAGGTTGCTTGTTTTGCATTTTCTATCCCTTTTCTTTAGCTCAATTGATGCTTAGAAATGGTGTATGAAATACCTGCAGTCCATGGACCACATTTTGTGAGAGTATTTCACAGTATTTGCAAATCTTACCTAAAGATGAGAGAAAAAAATGGTAAAAACCACCAAAATATTTAAGACGCAACATTTTGCAGAAATAAATACACTAAGTATGCAAATATATTTGTGAAATTTTCAGCCTTTTTCTGAATATAGACATTATCTATAGAAAAAAATTTGAACGTGGAACATGTAAAGGCATTGTTAAGTACCTCTAATCAGATTCTTATCTCAAATATAGCAATTTTATTTCAATAAAATTATTCTTCAACTGGAAATGAACTCAAAATTTTGTCTTCTGTGTTCATTGCAATTTCTTTCTTCTGTATTTAATTTTCTGGTCAGAAGCAATTGCGAAGAAAGAACACTTAAAAAAAAAAAAGTGGAACTACTGTAATTTTCAGATTTCACAGAGTTTAGCAGTCAAGCAATTTGTATAGAATAAAAGCACTTTTATATTGCCTCCTGCTACAACACCAGTGAGGAAAGGGCAGCAAAACTGTGGGAGACCAAATGAAGAGATTTTTCTTCTTTATATCAACTTGCAAGATACTGAGAGCTTCAGAATTGCAAGTGGTGATATAGCTTTTATGAACTATTTCTTTCCTCTTTGCCTCCTACAGCTGCTTCATTGTTGAGTAGTGTCTTTTTTCATGTCAGAAAGAGGGAGTGAAAGACATTTGTGACAAGTGACATTCTACTTTCTGTTTACTGTTGTCCTGCTTGGATGAGAGAAAAAGATACATCCATCTGACTCTCATTTTCCTATATTTTAGGAAGAGGCTAATTTAGAGCTTTTAAAGACAAATCTGAATTGTCTTATTCATATGACCAGGCCAAATATACCCAGAGCTTTCTTGTATAAGACCATTCTTTTTCCGGTATCACTTTCTTTTCAATTGTTTTATACAAGAACACTAAAGAACAAGATATGTCAGTAGAAAAAACTATCAGGCAAGTTGTGATATGCAATTTTTTCAGCTAGTTACAAAACAAGGTAGATAAATAATTAGTAGGAATATTATATGAAATGGCAACCAGTGGGAAAGGGAGCTGAATGGCACAAGATCTCTTTTTCTCTTCTTAATGGTTCTACTTCTGGTGAATGTGAACTGTCATAATTTGTAGAGGCACTCTCAGTGATGCCAAACACAATTTTACATAGAAATGGTGCAGTAGAAATGGTCTTCACAGTAGTACTCAGCTTGCTAAACTATCTGTCAAACCTAGACTAAAGGATTAAATTAAGTACACTTGCACCTCCCAGATCGCGCTTAGTCTCAGGGTGAACAACACGACTGAGTTCAAGTACATTGTTTTTGCAAAGGCTCATAAACAACTTAAAACCTTCACCTAAGATTTCTGAAGCTTATAAAAAAACCTCTGTCTCTTCCTGCAAGCTTCATATAGGCCCATAAGAACAGATTCTTGGATTCACCCACTCACCATTGAAAAAGACTGGACAATCCCTGCTTTAACCCGTTACTCATTTTACTCTTTGAGAGTCATTCAATAGACTGAATTTTGCTGAGCTAGTAAAAGATAGCTTTGTACTCTCAAATGCACCAGCTATATTTAAATTTCCAATGTATACTTAATTATACATTCTTACAAACTCAGTATTATCTTCCTTTTCATTGGGGAAAAATTAAGCTATTGTGCTTGCAGACATTATATCTGACTTTTGACATTTCATTTAGGGAAAACTATAAATATGTGAAATGCTGTTCCATCTTCTATTTTGTTCTCAATATTTTACCAGAATCTACATTAAGAGATGATGAATATGACAAATGTTTTAAATCCTTTCTCTCACCATGAACATGCCTGCAATTTCACTGTTTAGCATTAAGCTCTTTGTTTTTGTTGGAATGTGTTCCTGAAATATCAAGAAGCCACAATCAAATTCTATTCTCCATCATACCCCAGTAGATTACCATTTCAGCAGTGAGTTTTCCTTTGATCTGCAGTTCCTAGGAATGGCATCTATCACAGAAAACCAGCTTGTTGCCATTTCTAAGGAATTTATGGTGCTAATGAAGAAGAAAATAGAAAAGGTTTGTTATGACTCCTGGCAGTCACCACAGAGCCCTCAATATTCTTCAGTGGTGGAATTCAAGAAAGGAATTAATGTTTCTACATCTAGTTTAAAATTAATTATCTTCCAAATCAGATTCGTTTTCACATTTAAACAGTCTTATTCTAGCCCAGTAACACTATTTTGAATAACAACTGCCAACCAAGCTAATTAAAATAATTCAATTTTTTTTATTTACATATAGAAATACTATATTTATTTATATATTATCTATTGGAAATATGACAGAGAAAAATGTTCTACAGGACTTTAATAAACCTGATTATGCTCTATAGCCTATTTTATCAGGCTTAATTATCTGTTTGTGTTACATTTTGCAGAGGTTTTATTCAGGAAAGCAGGATTTTCAATTGGCTTTTGACACAAAATAACCTTTCTTTAAACTGTTAAACTGTGTGCAGACAATTGTTTCTGGATAAAAGGTATCACTTCTTGACATTGTCTAGATCAATTTTATTTTAGCAAACACGAGCAAAAGAGTGGTATATAAACTAATTAACCTCATAAGAAGCGTGGGCAGAGTTCGATATCATAAATGTCCATCTGTTTTTCCTTTTTACTCTTAGAAGAATGATCATTTTCCTCTGCTATCCAGCCCTGTATTGTGAGAATGGTAGAAGCACACAGGGACTAAAGATAACTCTAGCCAGTCTCAGCTTCCACCTCCAAAAAGGGAGTTAGCCTGTAGCCAGTTACACAGGCGTAATTTTAACAGGTGAATTATGATTAGTGTAAAGTTTGGCACCTCACCTAGCTGCATAGTGTTACAATCTGTAGGAACTAGGCATAGTGGGCACCCTTTCTTTCAGCCTAAGTTGTTTTTTCT